AATCGCTCGCTGAAAAAAAAAACATTTTTCAAATTAAGGAAACACCAAGCGTCATTTTGCAGACAAAAAATTAATTAATTAACGAATTAAATGAAATATTAAATAGATCAAACACGATTTCAGACTCACCATATTCACTCGATGTCTTTTATTCTTTCCGAGATGTTCAAGCATTTTGGTCGCGTCTGCTCTGAGCCGTCTTCTAGCCTGTCGTGGCTTCTGGATTTTGTCAATTATGACTCTGGTGACGTTCAATTGAGGTGTGGGGTCGACGCGCCTTTAAAGAAACTTTCGGCCAGAAGGTTCATCGGCGCCAGGCAAGAATATTAGCGAAAACCTCTAAGGAGCATTCATTTTTCGAATTTCACTGAATTTTTTGCGATTTAAGGACTTTTGTATTAAAAAAGTTCAAAATCGATGAAATTTATCGAAAAATAAATAAAAAATAGGCCGGAATACAATTACGAAAAATGCATGCTAAGCTCCGCCCACCCTCGAACTTTCGGTCCCGCAAGAAGCATTGAAATTAGACAGAGGAATAAGGTTATTATTATAATCTTATTAGGGAACTATCTGGGCATGATTCCCAATCACACTTCATGGCCTATATCATTAAAAAGCCCATGCAACTCTTATTCTGAATATGTTTTCGGTTTTTGCGAAACGGCGGTGAGCTTCCGAGAAAATTAGGTCAAAATATAATTGTCAGTGTTTTCTACCATTCAAAATTGGCGCGAGACACGTGATATATTTATTTCAAATTTAAAAAGTCAAACACAGCCTAAAAATCAACTGAAAATTATCGTGTGATCTAATTTTCTCGCAGCTCACCGCCGTTTTGCAAAAACAGAAAGCATATTCCGAATCAGAATTTTATGGGATTTTTAATAATATAGGTCATGAAGTGTAACTTGGAATCATGCTCAGACAGTTCCCTAGTTATTTCAACTTCAGTGGAGCGACAGAAAACACTGTTGTTGTCAGAGAACGCCGAGTATTATAACGAAGAAAATCGTCACGACGAAGGCTCGGAAAGGAAAAGAATGGCTCGAACACAGCTGGTGAAGTACAATGCGGATATAAGAATATGCGAGACAGAGATTGCTGTGGCAAAAGCTGAAAAGGGCAAATCCATGAAAGCAGTGATCGGTTTGCATGTAGAAAATCGAGAGGAGTGTGGAATTCACTTCTATGTCAACAACCGTTTAATCATATTCGGACACAAGTCAAAATTCTGGAACAAGAACGAGGAAGCCATCGGAATATCGGTTTATATGGACTTGAAATTCTGTCGATTCCGTCCGACGAGCAATAAACAAGGTTTCGAGTGTCTCAAAGATTTCAACGCTATTGTCAAGAAATGCGATCAGACTGTGCAGATTTATCACGATCATCTCAAGAACATCTGGATTCCGAGACATATGAAAAGCGAATGGCCTCTTCAAAAGGGGAAACACGATTTCAAGAGCTTCTGGAAGACTTATGGGTACGCCAGTCTTGACAATAATTGCAAACAGACATATCTAGAGGGAGCGCCGCAGATGAATAGACAAGCGGTGATTGAGAAAGAATGTGGGATTTGGAAATTGTGTTGTAAGTTTGACATACAATTTTAATACCTATATATACTGTTAAACCTGTATTAGAAGGGCCGGTTCTTCTGTTGTTCCAAGGTACCACCGGCTCTTCTATTAGAGGGACTCTTCTATTTTTCCGGCCGTTTTTTCTCGAAAAAAAATGTATATAATTAGGCGAAAATCAAATTAAGCAAATTTTTGTGAAACAAAACTGTGTTTCAGAAAATATCCTGTGAAATTTTGGAGTATGTTTTACTGTAAACTTACGGTAATTGTTAATTTCAAACAACACATTTCGAAGAGGGCCCTTCTAATACAGGTATATAGATTTTCGGGCATTTCCAGGAGTCTGCAGCTCGGCTGTCAAGTTTCCGATCACTTTGAAATTTTGGAAGATAAAATAGACCTATATTGTAAACTTAGAATTCACAGAATTTTTTGAAAATTCCTAGTTTGCCGACTTCTGAAGGACCCTGCTTTTTTTCACATTTCCAGTGAAGAAACGGCCGAAAAAAGGACGTCTTTTAGAAATCTACAAATATCGTAAAACCTCTAATAGAAGGGCCCTGTGAGCTAGCTGACGGTAGCTGAAAAACTAGGAATTTTCAAAATATTCTGTAAATACAAAGCTTTCAATCTAGGGTCTGTTTCACACCCTCCAAATTTTTTTATACTGAAGCTTAACAGCCGAGCTCTAGACTCCTGAAAATGCCCGAAAATCAACTGAAAATGTAGTTTTTCATCAAAAAATTTCAGTGAAATGTCGCATGTGGAAACGAATCCGGAATCAATCAGAGGTATTTGGACCAATCTCGGATGATATGTTCCAGTGCAGAAATGTCAAACGAGTATGTGGAAATGAACCAGACGGAGAAGCTACAAGATCTGATCTCCCGCTCAAAGTCAAAGAACCTGCCGATGTGAAAAGCAGTGCTTCTGCCAGTATGTTGTCAGCAAGACAAGCGCCAACTTCATCTTCGAATCGTTGGATGATGCCTTCAACAAGAGCGAAGAATATTCCCACGACTTCATCGCTTCCCAGCTTCAGACGCAAGCCCGAACCATCACCCAAACAAGCTGATGACTTCTCAGGAATCGAGGACGATGATGTTCTTCCATTCAGTGGTAGTGGACCTAGAAGATCCCCGCGTAAGGAGCACAAACCGAGTCTTTTTGACATTGATGACGATATTGATGACGAGGAGGTGCCACCGCCTAGAAGAAGAGCACGGATTGCTGCTTCCGATAGCGATTGCTCTTCTGAGGAGCCAGTCAGAAAAATCGCAGCATCTTCTAAGCCGAGCAGACCGGCAGCAAGCCAAAATCGGCGATCAACAGGAGCTGCTGCAAAGCCAGACTATGAAAGAATGTACAATGCTCTAGCGAAGGATGTCGGCCAACGCTTGAGATGATGGTGAGCCTTAATTTTTTGTAATGAATGAAGAATTTCAAAATTTTCAATTTCAGCCAGAAAGCGCAACAAGCAGCCGACGTGTTAAAAATCAAGTGGAGCTCGTCAAGAAGCGAATCGATCGTCGTTTTTCTGAGAAGTGGTCCGATCACAATATGCCCATCTGTCACATGAAGTTCTAAGTATTGCCTTTTTTCTCATACTTGTTGCTCCCTCACTAAATTTTCCCGTATTTCATGTCAACTATCAGTTATTTATGTCTGTTATTTTTTCTGAATCCCTAATTTTTTTGCTCATTTTAAAAAAATTATTTTAGCACTAAAAAATTTTAAAAAATCGACTGAAAATGGCAATTCTAGCGTCAGAAAGTGTATTTTTGGGTTATTTTCTGCGATGATTCTAGCTCTAAAAATCATGAAAATCGTATTTTTCTTGCGTCCCTCACTAAATTTCCCTGTATTTTATGTCAATTCCCAGTTATTTATCATATCTGCTTTATTTCTGAACCACCAGTATTTTTCATATATTTTTGTTCATTTCTTATGATTTTCCTCTCTAAAAATCACGAAAATCGGCTTGTCTAGCGTAGAATACATTTTCTGGGTTATTTTCGGGACATTTTCACCTGTTTTTCATGAATTTTGGAACATTTTTCATGATTCACGGTTCGAAATTCCTTTAAAATTGGCTGAAAATCGTATTTTTTTCTCATTTTTGCCCCAAAATGTGTGTTGTGTGTCTGAGTGTCCAGATTTTCTGAGATTTTCTTTCCAATGAATTGCTTATTTGTTTAGAAAGTTAATGTTTTCTTAATTTCCGAGTTGAGATTTCCGCCCGAGACCTATTTCAAACTTCCTTGTGATTTCGAAATTTCAAAACAAAACTGATTTGCCCTTATCACTCTCTTCCCTTCTCCATGTCATATTTTCCGTGTCTTCTCCTATAAACCACAGTTTGGGCACAAACGAAATAGTGTGTAAAACGAGGAGAGACGCAGACAAACCTTGTTGATCAACCTACCCGTGCTTTGTAGTTCGTTCGTTCTTGAAAGGGAACGAATACCTGGATTCTTCCAGAAAATTTCCCTAGAAATCCTCCGCATTTCTTAGACCCTATCTACCGTTTAAATCGCTATCCAGATACCGATCTCATTTTCTTTTTCCACCTCCGACGACGAGGACGTCTTCTATGCAAATACACCGAACGAATTCGATGGCGATGCATCGAACTACAAATGCTTCGCTTGTTTTTCAAGTTTTTCTTTATGATTTTTTCTCTAATTTTTTTAAAATCCAAAAATCCTGATTTGTCGCTTCGAGACCACCGCTAATTTTATTGTAGTATTACGGTAATTTCGACTTAAAAATAGTTTAATTTGGTCATTCTTCTCCGCTATGCCCATCAGAAGAATAAGGCAAATACTCATTAGCTTGGTGATCTTTTGCTAAATGCTCACTTGCTATATATGCTCATTTGCTAAAATATTCTCAATTGCTAAATTTCATTTGCTGAAAATGAAAAAGTGGAAATTTTGCTGTTATTTGCTAACTTCAGTACTTTTTGACTGAATTTTTTACAGAAGATTCCGGCTTTGCTTTAAATTTTAGGCTTAGGCTTAAACACCTGTTTTCCGGTAAGGGGTTTGAGCCTAAGCCTTCAATTTGAACAAATCCTCTATTTAGTAAATGATCAAAATTTAGTAAATGAGCATATTTAGCAAGTGAGCATTTAGCAAAAGATCATCTAGCTAATCAGTATTTGCCGAAGAATAATTGACCAACTACACGTACCAGGCTAGAACACAGACCACACTTCAAGTCTAGCCTGGTGTAGTACTATGGATCATTTGAAATCGAGAGAGTCGATTAGAGAAGAAAAGGAAGAAACGGGGAGGGAAAAAACAGACGATTTTTGCGACCCAATCTCTCTCCCTCTCTCTAAATACCAATTTCCCGTTTTCAGCAGTTGAACTTTGTCTAATATAAAGTTAATGTGACTTTTGAATCTTTTATAAAGATATATAAGACGTTTCGATGTGAACATCTTCTGTTTCACCTGTGACCTACTTTCCGGTGGTGTGTCTTTTTCTCTTTCGATTTTCTTTATTATATCGTTGCCTGGTGAAAAAAAGGTTCTTCAGATCGCACAAGCGAACCACTGTATTTGAGCATATTTTCTCAATTTTTCGACAATTTTCATCGTTTTTTAGTTGTACATCGCTTAAATTGATGAAAATCGTCAAAAATTGAGAAAATTAGCTCAAAAAATACGGTATTTCGCTTCTGCACCTTTAAGAAAAATTTAAACGAGATATATCCCGCTTTCAACCTTTATTTTCTAATGCCTTCAATGTGTTTTCAAAGGGTTTCTTTTTGATTTTGCAATTCCTTTCTCCTAGCAACTCGAAAACCTAGGCAACCAAATCTTTTCCAAGGCGCCGGGGCGACAAAAGTTTTCTCTTTTTTCTTAACGACTTTCTCAAAAATATCTTTTTTCTTTATGGAGTTTTCAACGATCTTTCGATTTTTGTACCCGAAAAAATTTTTAAGAAGTCGTTTTTGTTGTCTGCGCCTTTTCTATTATTGACCACCGTTAGGTTAGTTCAAGTGTGACACGGCGACGACGTCGACTGGCTTTGTACAAGAATACGTATTCTGGTCGTCGTTCACATTCATTTGCCTGTGTTACGTGCAATACGGCATATGTATGAAACCGTTTATAGGTATTAGAAGATGTCAGAGGAAAAATTCGAATAGTTTTTTTTCAAATTGCGACCTAAATAATTCCAAAAAACCTATTTTTTGTTTTCAATCTCGCATTTAATCACAAAAAACCCAATTTTTGCGAGCTAAAATGTTCCAATTTAGCCTCACCTCGCTCATGTTGCACGGTGATGTTGAGAAGGTATTTTTCGGAAATTTTCGGAATGTCGAAAAATCCGATTTTCAGAATTTCGAAATTTTCCGATTATCAACTATTTTTCGATTGAAAATCACACTTTCCCATATCAAAATCCCGATAAATTTGTGAAAAATTGAGTTTTTAAAGTTTCGAAAACTCAACAAAAATGTAAATCCGCTCGAGACCTAAAAGGGTGCTTTCTGCGGGCGCCTTTAATGTACCGTAGTTCGAGAAGCTTGAATTCCGGCTATATCGGAATTTCCGAATTTCGAACATCCCTGAAGTATAGTTAACCCCAAAATTAAAGGATTTAATTAAAGGGGGACTCCGACCAAAAATTTTTATTGCATTGAAATGTTCGAAAAGTTGTCTATTTTCGCAATATTATAGCGAAAAAATTCGAAAAAACTCCGAAATCCCCGAAAAATGCCGTTAAAAGCCAAAAATTTCCAAAAAAAAGTTGCTAGGAGGAACGAGGATTTGAATTCCCACGCAGTGAGAAACCTAGGCC